GTTGTGAACCACAGAAACATGCAAAAGGGAAGACAAAATTTAATGAATCAGTTTCTTTCCACTGATAAGTTAAACCTTCACTTTAAGGCTGCAAAGTTTATGTGCATTATTAGACATTTTTTAGCCCAAAATGTTCCTATTTTAAATCGTTGTTCTTACTTTGGGGGAGTATAGACATGTTTAATGCTACAAAAGTGTCCAAAAATTTGAATCTAAAAAATTAAACTATATCAATCAGACTAAACAACATTTTGTATTTGAAAAGAACATTTAAGTCAGTACTCAGAATTGTTTGTATGATATCCAGGCCTGCCTTGCAACACCTTCTCACTGAAACAATAATTATTGTTTAAACAAAGAAACGTAATGCTGACCAGAATAAAACTGCGTGATGGATTGCAGACGAATTAAGCTGAAACACATTCAGGGGCAAAGGGTAATTTTCATTGTGTTCTAATTGCAAGAAATCTATTGTTTTCTCATCTTTACAAGGCAACAGGTTCCATTTTTAGAAAAGCTTCAAAAATATCCACCAGTCCCAAAGTAGAATGTGGGCAACGGTACAAACTGTCATCCAGCATTGTACTTTAAATTAAGAAAGCACACCGGAAGGCCAAACTATTCTGTATTTAAAACTTTACTCTCCATAATGACATATTTATGAGTGAGCATTACTGTATCAGTTGGAACAGGATTTAGGGTTTAGACATGGTTAATGCTGACCATATTTAGAGCATTAACAAAGAGGCTTTATGTGATCTCAATGACAGCGAGTGTGAATAAATAAAACATTATTGTCCTGCCATATTATGTATCTGCCTGCCCAGAAGGCAAAATCTTATGTGGTTAAAAGTCAAGATTACTCACAATTTATATAAATGTTAATTTTATATTTTTCCTGTATTGGCTTCCTGAAAGCATCCTGTTATTAAAGAATAAGATAAGATTATTTAAAGGACCAGTGTGTAGGATTTAGTGGCATCTAGCGGTGAGGTTGCAGATTACAACCATTTGAATACACCTTCCAAGGGTGAAGGAGAAACTACGGTGGCTGTGAAAGTCACGAAAAAAGAAAAAATATCTCATTCTAAGGTAACAAAAACACAATTCTTATTTTCAGGTGATCATTCATGAAAACATACCTATAAATATTATATTCCATTTCTGGCAATAGAAATAAAAAATGAAAAAAGGGGTGTTTTTAAAAATCTGACTACCTGGAAAATACAATATCAGGAATACTCATCAGTAATTGTGTGGCAGAAAAGGACATAACCTCCTGATCTGGCTGGCTGCCCTGTACTGCTCTTAAATTCACTCTGCTTGGACTGTTTCCAACATCTGCTCTCCTTCCTCTGGCATCCTGTGCACATCTACATCCCACAGGCATATTTCACCCGGAGTAACCAGTCAGACGAGCCATCAGGGTTTACTATTGTCCCAATAAAATGCCACAAAGCTGGGGCATTCACCACCCAGGCTGCACACTGCGTTAGTGAGACAAAGAGCCCAGGGAAAGGCACATTAATTTAGACAGATTTGCTTCTAAATAGCCAATTTACCAAGTCCACTTCATGAGTGCTTACAAGGACACAGAACCTCACATACTGTTTATTGTCATCTCAGGACAAAACTAAACCTACTGTGCGCCCAGGTTTTGTGTCGTAATTTGAAGGAATATTATGCACCTTGTTATGTGCTGGATAACCTAAACTGAGATGGATAAAACTTAAATCCTACAAAATCCTGTACCCTGCTCTTTGCTCTTTTGGCAAATGACACACAGATTTCTGGGGCATAAAACAAAGCTTCTTAGTGCTGGTGGTTGTTCTGCTGTAAATTAACAGCGGGGCTTACTGATAATCACTCACAAAGAAGGTCATTCCTAACCATCAGGAACCAGGTTTCAGGCCCCTTTGTCTCTCCTGCCCCTCACTCTGCATGTAGGTGCACAGCCATGCAGTGAGCTTAATACACGTTAGATAGGTTGGCTATTTAAGTATTTACTGGAAGCAATTGTGAACAACAATTTTGATGATGGTGAAACAAATTTAGAAAACGGTGAGATTCCAGAAACAATAGTTTAACCAAAAGTACTGTAAAATGAAGTAATAGTAAAAAAACATATTTAATAGCTGTCAGATTAGCTATTGTTATAGGAATAAACAAGGTGCAACATTAATTCTAGAAAGGATTTTAACAGCAATGAAAACTTTACTGCTTTGAGACTTGATACCTGACACACTAAAAACATGACTTAATTTTGAGATTTGAAAGAAATAGCATCAAGTTTTGACCTGGCAGAAATATTCATGGAGGCTTTAAGGGGTGGCAGAAATATATGCTGATTTAATCAAAAGCAATCACAAACACAAAAAGTCCCCAAAAGAGGACCCCAAAACATCAGATTATTGTGTCACATTAGCAAACATTGAATAGAAATATCTAAAGGTGGGATTAGAAATCTTTTAAGTCTTTTTTCATTTAACTTAAGCCTATTAATAAACATAAATGTGGCCATAAAAGATCATTAAATGAATACCTGTTAATACACACCCAAGCTTCCCATTCAAGATCGTCATAAACGGACGACTTCCTCCTTACACGTTCATCCTCTTCCTTACAATTCATCTATCCTCAACATCCAAATATATCCTCAAACCTTTAGACTCATATTGTTGTGGCGTGGTCCTTGTTAGTAAACACAGCTATGAAAGGATAATGTCTAAAAGCTTTAACCTGACTTTGACTTTGTTTGCTACAACAGTTTTAAGCTTTATCTGCATTAAAAACATCCATTTAAGTATGTGTTTGGCTTTGATTTACAACCAGACATTTACCTTTATCCACAGAGCTCCATTAGAGAACTCACTCACGGTGTTCTTCATCAGTGCCGTGTGTAATTGATTTCAGGAGCAGCAGCCAAGGTTTCTCCTCCAGCATCTCCAGGTGGTTCATATTTACTCGTCAGTTTGAAGCCCTCGGGCACAGAGTACATACACGAATGCACACATACACAAACCATACAGTTCCATAACGTGAGCTCAGAACTGTCTCTGACCTCTGAAAGTAAAATCTGTTTTGAGAGTTTTGGTTCATGTACATTACATCATGTCCTGTCACAACACATCTGCAACCAACTACTACAACTTGGAACCATTTTAGCTTCCTTTACAGCAGCATGCGTGAGAATCAGCTTGAATAAAACAAGCAGCATCTTATCGAGGGGCCCAAACTGAAACATCCTGTTTGCAGGTGTGTGCTGCACAGTAACACGTCTTTCTTGTTTAGGAGATGTAAAGTAGGTCAAATCCATATCACAGCATCACATCAGAAAATGGAAAGACAAGGCAAGAATTAGATGCTCCATTACATGCGCAGCATGATTCCCCTGAGTTAAGTCTCTTCATTGTGCTCCATGTTAACAAACTGTACCAGAGAAAGTGCCAGACAGGCTTGTCCATCCCCCTTCTTTGGATCAGGTGGTAGACTGGAGTTGTTATGTAGGTCAGTCATTATATGAGCTCTCATTTAATGTTCTATCCCTGCAGAAAACAGTAAGGAAATTACAACTCTTAGATCCAACAGCAGAGAACAAGAAACGAAAGGCTCCAGCTTCAATCAAAAATCCTAAAATCTGATTTCTGACTTTTATCAACCTCTGTTGGCAACCAGAGAATTGGAGCAATAACTCATCTAGAGTACTGTGTAAATAACTGACATAAATAATCGTATAAGTCCCACTGGGATATTAACATCAGGGAAAGAATTAATTAGTTGAGTCACAAGTGAACATTAAACCCTGACAGACAGTTTAAAGCAAGAGCTTGACATTTTGGGGGGAAAATATGTTTATAAGCTTTCTTTCCAAGAACTAGATGAGAAGATTGATCCAGCATAAATAAAGATGTACGGTAAATATAAGGCTGTCGCCAGCAGCTGGCTAGCTTAGCTTAGCATAAATACTGAAAAGCGGGGAAAACAGCTAGCCTAAAATTGTGTTGATAATACACACATGATAATTGCATATAAATAATCCGACGCCCATTTCTTTCCATCCCGCTTTGTGGTTCAAACTGAAACACATTGGTGGCGGTAATGCACCTTATCGCTGGTTGCCAGTGTTACAGTTGAGAGTAATTCATTCACCAAGAGACAGGAGACAAAACACACAATAAAAGTTAAAGAATGAATTTGACTGATAGCATTATTATTATTTCCCTTATCTTTATTATGAGTTCTTTTGGCAACAACAGTCATGTAGTGTAAATCTGATAATGTAACAGCCCTATAGTCCAAAGGTAACAAAATCCACCTACCAGCACCTCTAAACCTCAGTAATTAACACATTATATCCTGTTTGTGCCAACTGTCTCCCCCTGTTTTAGTATTTGTGCTAAATTAAGCTGCTGGCCATGGCCCTTAATTTGCCATCATTAAATTTGCATCAGTCCTCTCATCTAACTTTCGTCAAGAACGAGAAAATGAAAAACATTTTTTTCAAGCTTCACCACACGTGTCTTCTATAAACATACTGCGTCCTGTGTCACTTGGTGGACACTTGTAACCAAAGCCACTGATTCTGTGGAAAGTGTATACACGCTGAGTTATGAGGGACCGCAGATCTTTCAGCGGTGGACTTGCTGGGTTGAATTAGTTATTGCTGGAAGGAAAAAGTAAAGAAAATCCAAAGAGCTGATGAAGTGCAGATGCTGCTTACACAGAGAGAAAGAGGGAGACATGAAAAAGACAGAGGGAAACATAAGTGAAGAGGAAAATGAAAAGGTACAGTAAATTTAATTCCATGGTAAAGATCATACAGACGACAGTTAATCCATCCATGAAGATTCAGATCTTCATGGTTGTTTTTCCTCCACATGAGGGGCTGCAGTTCAGCCCATGAAACAGTGAGTATGAAACTTACACTATAGAGTTATCATTCCTTTAAGGATACATTCTCCCTTATATACTTTAATAGTCTATATAGCATGCATTTGTATGATTTAGTGCATTCCAGGAGTTATTTTTTGCTGAAATATTTTATTGTTTTGGCATACTCTGACTGGTTCCCCATTACTCCCAGAATGACTTTCAACAGCTCTCCAGAGAATGGGTGTGAACTTGTTGCTCTCAGTCAATGGTGGGCATATGGATGTATAAATATAGTGAAGCTATCCAACTGTTTGTGAACACTTGGGTGTGTCTGTGGTCACAGCCAACCTCCGTTAATCAAAACACAGTTCAACATGTGGTTGCATTACATTCTGGTCCTTTGAGGTCCACTGGCAGGGGATACATGAAATGCCATTGAGATCTGGAGGTGGCTGACTATATTTCTGTCCAATCAAACTCAATTGTATCCTAGAATGATGTCATATCTTCTACTTTACAGGAAAAAATACACCCCATTTAACAGTTTTTTTCACGGAGTTAGCATTGCAAATACCTGCTCATATTACACTATTTCAAATAATGCTTAATTCATGTTATGGGATATTAAAGAAGACTTCATATACTTTTTAAAGAAAACTGTAAAGAGCAAAGCTATCATTTTATTTGGGATATCAGTGTAGAATATTTCCATAAGATATACAGCATTTGTAATGATATTCTCTCTGGATATTTGGTTCCTAAATCCCCTCAGATAGGAAGAACTATTTGCACAGTGTATTTCAGTGAAACACGGCACCACTCACTTCATAAATTAACTGTAGCGCACTCGGATTGTGCTCATGTGCAGACGTGGACACATTTAATGCACCGCTGAGGTAATGCACTCTTGGAAAACCTCCAGTTATGCGACTGGGGTGTGATGATTTTACTGTGTGTAACGCAGACCATTACCGTGAAGTTACAGTCAGCATTCTCCTTCACACCGCGCAGGTCAAAGGTCATCTGGAGAACATTCCAGGACAGACAATATGGCTCCCTGGAGGTATGGATGAGGCTGCAGCTTGTCTGGCCATCTGCTTCAACCTGCCCCCATTACTCTACAGCTAAAACTGGCTCCACACTCACACTAACGTAGTGTTACAGTAGTTGGCCTCTACCCTCTGTGCTCCTTAAGGTCTCTAAAAGGCTTTCTGCTCAGCTGAGACCGATAAACTACGAGCTGCATGAGCTTATAATTGTAAGAAACTAGGACACTTTTATTACATGCTCAGTTACAAAGAGCTACATAGTTTTTTAAAAAATGGGATGCATCAGTGGTGGAAGAATTATTTTTGCTCAAGTAAAAGTAACAAAACTGCACTCAAAAAATACTCTATTACAATAAAAGTCCTGCATATGACCAAAGTGGTACTGTTTCCACCGCCTCGTTTAATTGATTTCAAGGGAAGTCTGACTGAATCCGACCCGGTGGCAGGCATTAAGAAAATAGCCAATCTTCTCGCTGACCATCTGGTGAGCTTATCTTGGTCATATTGAGGCCTCAATTTCAAACTGAGGCTGTTTCATAACCAGTTAAAAACTCTAAGTATGGAAGTAAATATAAATAGATAAAGATGGATTAAGGAGATCTACAATTGCATGATGATATTAAACAAGCTTTCAAGTGACTCTTAGAAAAGTAGTTACATGGTTCATGGTACATATCAACAGTAGTATATGTAACGCAATCTTCAACAGTCTTTTCTTTTCTAATTGGTTTTAAATCTTTCTTAGGTCTGATTCTTAAAAACATCCTCCAGAGATAAAATCTCCATTTAAATAATGGACGTTAGTGTCAGAATCAAATGTAGTTTCCTTGATGTTAAAGTGAGCAAATCACAATCTTTCATCGCAAGCACTAGTGGAACTATTGTAATGAACCAAATCTTTAAAGGTTTCATATCCACTTCATTTTACTTTCATTCTTTAAGTTACATCTTGAAGTGGAGTTTACTACATGATTACTCTCAAGTACTGTATACTTTGTCTCTGGTTATAACTGCATGTTCGCTTTCAAATATGCCTCTTTAAACACTGGTCTGGAGTTTTCTTGGTTTGTTTTACCTTAATTGAACTTATTTAAGTTGTGACAAAATTCTTGTTAAATGGAAAGAAATTCGACAATAATTTAAAATTCTGTGATTTTTCCAAAGGTTTCAGATATATTTACGATCGATGCTTTATGTAGAAATGACCTATACTATAAATATGGAGAATATCTCCAATACAGGGTTTGATTGTCAGCAGGTTTGTTGAGGATCGGTTGTGCAAGATTCCTAACAGACTCCTTGAACACAAGGGCACGATCGCTTGACCCCCCGAACCAGGTGTCTTCCTTTCTGCCCCCACCCTCTTTTCACTGCGGGAACTATGCCACCTGTCAATCACTGAGGTAGGTTGTCATAGTATCCAGGTGGTCCAGCCTTTGAAGTGGCAAACAGGTTCTTTGTCTGAACATACTGAACATAATGAATATTAATTGTAAACTAGAATAGACAAGAATATGTTCTTTTTCTGCAAAACCAAAGCTGTATAATCCATGCTGGTAATATGCTGGATGGATGTAGGTCATCTTAGTGAGTGTATTTGGGAGTGTGGTGTGCTGTGCTGTATGTTCACTAGATGTCAGTGTAGTTTCTAGGATGAGTTCAGTGGCACACAGTCAATTCAATTCAATTCAATTCCATATGCCAAGAAGGTTTTCTTTTACCCTGATTGAAATCCTACAATGATTAGAAACTTTTGAACTTTTAAGTTTGGTGTGACACATTTTTTTTCAATCCAAATTGATAAAACCTATTGTTACGTATTTAGTCTTTCTTTTTCTTTTACTATTTTTTGGGCTTTTTTATTGTCTTTTTATTTGATAGAAACAGCTGAAGAGTGATATGAAAGTGGGGCCAAGGGTTGAAATTCAGCCACTGCGGTCAGGATTCAGCCTGAGTACATGGGGCGAGTCTTTTTGAAATAATACAATAAATAATTATCTTTTTATAACACTATTTTTCTTCACTGGTTCTTCGATTGTTGAAAGAAAAGTTTTTATTTTCCAGTATATTGTTACATATACTGTCTAAATAAAATAAATACATAAATAAACTGCTTTCTACTTAGACAGGACTGTGGAACAGAACATCTTCAACCTCCTTTAACCAAAACTTTATTTCAAATTGTAGAGAAAATGCCAAAGTTTCTAAATAAATCATGCTAATGTGGTTACAAATTTGCCTACCAATGATGAAGTGGTAAAGAGTTTTAGGTTTGAATATTCACATAACATCAATAAAGAGCTGGAACAACCTGATCCAGAGTAAAGTTTCAATGTAGGAAAGGTCAATTATTCAAAAATGTCTTAATAAGGGGAAATAAAAAGGGGAAACTGTATGTTAAAGAGTTATGAATTGTTATGAATCTGTTCCTCTTAGTATTTGCTAGTTGTATAAATAATATTACCATCAAAGAGCACGGCAGTATGATTTTGTATGTACTGTAGTGTGGAAACAGTGGAAGCTAACTCTGTTTACCATTATTTAACCAATCTGGGCTGCAGATGTCCTTTTGAACTCTGATTGCATCTGTCAGGGCAAAGAGACTGATCTTGCAAATTAGATCCATAATATTAGTTTCAGAATGTCTTTTTCTCTTTTTATTTGACTTTTAATTGTGAATATTTTCTTTTGAAAATGGGAAAGTGTCCAACCTGAGGGTCAAATGTCGACAATTATCACAATCTTACTCAGACGTACGATTTAGTTTATTAGTAAAAGCACTGCATGTCATACACTGACAGTATGACAACGGTCACATGGTTTCTCTGTGGGTTTAGAAAACGTTATGGAGCCTTTTCAGAGCCCCTCAGATGACGTCGACCTCAGATGTATTTATGTTCATGTATTCTTTGACGAGTCAGGGTCGGTTTTTGTAGCTTCTGAACATTTGACATTTTAGAAAATACACATTTTTAACCCATGAAAACAGTGACAAGTTATTACATCTAAACTGAAACATGTGGAACAAAAACCAATACCGCTGGTGTACAGCCAACACTCCATATGTAATGTATTAAGCATTAAGTGCTTCTGCCAACAGCGTGTCCCAGTTTTATAATTTAGGGTGAGTTATAGAGGTTACTAAAATTTGCTGTGCTGTTGGAGTCAAGGCTTTTCATGGTGGTCCTGTATATAGAGCCAATATGACTGGCATTGGATAGTACAGTCTTGGCACCCATAATGACCAAAAAAATAAATTAAAAGCCGCAAAACCCTTTTTGTTTATCTACATTTTGTTGTCAGTTTAATTCATCAGGATTTCACAAACTACATTTCACCCACCTCTGCCAAATCAGTAAAATATCTTTAGACAAAGATATGATAACATGAGCCTCACTGTGTCATTTTTAAGTCTTTGGTGACTCCATTTGAAATGTACAAAAGAAAACACCCTGGGTATCCCCGTTCACACAGCAAGATTAGTTACGCATGTCATCTAACCATCTCATTCACATTATAGTTAACACCCACAAGTAGTGTTGTCTCTCCAGTCGGTTAACAGTTAAATGACTCATTCATTCAGTCAAGTGTTCTGTGGTCATAACATTACTTCCTTCCATAAATACCTTCAAAAAAACAGCAACTGAGTACCTATCATCAAGCACAAAATAGATTTAAACTCTTAAAACAGTTACATACATTTGAAATAATGTGGACATATTTTAAAAAGTGCATCGTCGCGGCTACGTTTTTGGCTTCCTACTGAGGGCTATGGCAAGATCTTACCAGAAAACATTTGGTTCAGTCCTCTTGGGGTCAGAATATGTCAGACCTGAAATATCTTTACTATCACTCTTTTCAAGTAATTAATGTGTTGAATTATCTCTTACCTTTCCGTCCCCCAACACCTCCCTCCATCACTACTCCTAAACTTTATCAGTGCCTACACACATTTTAAGGTAAAGAGCTTTTTTAAACTGCAGAGTCATGAGGTTAAAGATGAACTGTCTATGAGAGGGATAGGCCATGGTAGACAATCATAATCTACAGTAAAACCTACTTTAAAATCAGGAATAAATAGTCTGTTTGCATAGTCTGGAAGTGATCACTATGTAGGAACTCATTCCACGGAGAGAAGGTCTGTAAGATGCCTGGACTCGGGTTGATGTTACTCCTTCATGTTTTGCGGCCTGTTGATCTTTCCTGGGGCTCTCAAGCTGGTCCTGGATGTGTGCAGGAGGGGGGGGCATCATTGACTCAAAGCATGAGAAAAGTGAACAGCAGCCGATCCGGTCGGTTACAGCAGAGAGCAGTGGTTACCTGGACGAGAAAGAAAGCAGCCAGGATTAAATGGAGGGTAAATTAACAGCATAAATCTAATTTTTTAATTGTTTCCAGACTTACACTGCACACATACACTGATATGGTACATGTATTATTATGTTTACCAGTACTGACCCTGAACTATACATATCATGAATTACGATATATCAATGCAATATAATATATATATATATATATATATATATATATAATAACATAACTCATGTCACAAATTCAATTCATGACAACTGTCTCACACTTTGGGTTAATGTCCTTTATCTTAACTTTATCTTCCAATTAAAAATAAATCATCTGTTTCACATCTCATAAAGTACTGCTGATGTAGCTGATGCTGTGTTACCTCTCTCTCAGGGGCAGGTTTGGGTTACTTAGGAAGGACAGCTGCTGCTCCAGACTGCACACACGAAAGGCCAAGTAGCACGATGACAGGATGAGGAGAATAATACTGATGAATGAGGAGGAGACACAGATGAGTTACATGAGTACAAATTATTAATTATTACTAAGTTTTACAAGCGTTACGATATTAGAGACTAGAATCCTTTGATGATGTGGAAGAAGGGAGCTGTAATGCCTTTTGATGAACACTGGGAGGCGACGTTTAACCTTCTGTCAGCATTTGAAGACAACACTGTCCTTGAACCAGTTTAAATAGTTTAACTATATTACTGTTATGATATTACATGTTCCAAGTAATTATTTAGGATTTCAGAGTTTGAATATGTTTTTTGAACTCTCTCTTGTGGTAGTATACTATGTTTTTTATTCAATGCATTCTGTACTTTATTACCACACAATGATAATATAACTTTGAGACCAAATAATGCATTTATCTACCTTTTAATTAGAAAATATGCATGCACATTTGGCATTGATTATTCTCTTTTAAGCATAAATGTATATATACAGTAATAATAGTAATAGTAATAGTAATTTTCATGGATTATAATCTGTGATATGCCAGAGTCAAATTTGTTTTTTTCTCTTTTCCTCTACAGGTCTCTGTCAGCCATAGGACAAACCCTCGGGAACAGATAAGGATTCATTGCTCTCTCAAGGACAGTTAAGCACAGCGGCGTCATGCCCTCTGGGTGAAGGACAGTCTCCATGGTCACTGTGCCGCCCTGCTATGAAAGAGGGCAGGTGGAGTGAGGAGAGCATGATGTGCAATGAGTCTTAAAAATGAAGTAAAAAGTCTAAAAGGGAGACAACTTCTTTGAGGAAAAAGTGTTTTAACAGCTCCGATCCTGTGTGTTCAGATGGCTGAATTTGAATCGCCCACTATTTATATCTCCGTGTTAATGCTCACAGTGTGTGTGTGTAGCTGTGAGTCAGCTGTTGGAGGAGGTGAAGGTGGTGTTGTTGGTGTCTGTGTGTCCCTCTGTATACTCACAGCAGGGTAAAGAACTTGAGCAGCTGGTACTCCATCTGGCCTAGCTCTGCCACTGGCTCTGATAAAAGACCTCTGTCTGTTTGTAGAGCTCGCTCTGTAACGCACACACACACACACACACACTATAACATAAAATCATTAACAGTACTTGGCTTGACAGTACTGCATGTTTCACTTTTCATAGCTCTGGCCCACCTGTTTGTGTATTTGACTGCATTTAGCGCCCTCACACAGTTAATGGTGTGACAATATGCCCTTTGGAGCTTGATAATGAATCAATATATTAAGTAAATCAAATCAATTATGCCCTCCAAAGGGTGCTAGCTTTTGATTATACTACTATATTTTATGAAATGCCAGAAGGTGCAATTAAGTTACATAAATTACCACTATATATATTAAGACTGAACTGTCAGAGATGATCAGGACATTCACATTTCTTAATTTTATATTATTTTATATGTTTCTACGGCTCCTAAAACCTAAGAAAAACAATTCTAAGACAGTCAGAAGTGGTAAAACCTCTTCTAATTGAATATATTTCAATATATGTTTCTATATTATCTGTGTGTGTAGTGTGGGAGGGGGATACAACTGCATTTTTATTGTGCAATTCCGTGAACCTAATGTTGTTTTTACTGCTGCATTCATTCATTATTCATTAGAAATATTGTAACCATTGAAAACTATATTGTCTAAATACAAAACCATGAGCTGACTATTATTATATCCTCACATGTCCATTATTATTGTATGCCAACTGGCTCGTGTGCATGGATTCTTATTGCACAGGTCCAATATGTGTGTCATGTAAAACAACTATAATACAGGTATTTACTCAGGTTATGCTATTTAGGTGGCATACTTATTTAACTACATTACTTCCCAGCTTTCTGCTTCACGTGTGGGCTGTGGTGATAATGTAAACAAAAGCTCACACTAATCAAATATCCAACATATAATGGGAAAAAAACTGTGTTTAGAAGTGATCTAAAGCCTTACAGCATATAGCCGTTAAACTGTCCTCAGACGACTTTGACAGCAGACATTGTTTGTGATAATCTCTACTTAATCTGCATCCGCCCCAAAGCTTTTTAATACAAGCCCCCACATGATTTAATCTCCATTTGGAGCTTAATGTGTCGTTGCATAAGAGAGATGTTGCCATCCAAAAGCAACTGCTCTCTGTCTTTAGTTCTCTCTTTAGTTCTCTCTTTCTCACACACAAAATCCAAAGCAAATGAAAAACTTCAACACAAACACACAAACTTATGCATCCGGGCAATTTAACTCTCTATTCATGTCTCACAGTATAAATGTGATTTAACGACAAACAAACATTCACACTGTTGTCCAATAATTTAAGTGACATTTTGAAGATTCTGTCCTCAGTTCATCTATTTTATCAAGGTCAGAGGTTACTTATTACCAATAAAAGTCATCATGCACATCCTACTTCAACTTTTATTCCCCGACACACACTTAGACAACACAATGATGGCTTTCCTCATACTGAGGATTAACAAGCAATCTATTGCTCAAAGAGCAGCTCCACTACTGTGGAATAGTTAACCTCAATCAACCAGAGAGGCAAACAATGTTGAGATTTTTAAGTTCAAACTGAAATCCGACTTATTTTCTGTTTCCTGTATTTGGATTGTGTGATTGGTATCTTGGTTTTGTTCCAGCCTTAACTGTGAATAAGCAATAAAGAAGTTATTTGATGTATTTTCAGTTTTATGTTTTTTACATTGGTATTATCTTTGGAAAATTGTCTTGTTTTTTTAAAAAACTGTGTTGAGAAACTATTATTTCATGCTCAAGATATGCAAAACACAAATGCTCACTTTCTGATCAGATGAAGAGAGAGCAGATTTCTCTTCTTTTTAATGAAGTCCTGCAGGAGCCTGACATTGTTTAAAACTAAAATATCAAGAAGTAACAACTGACAACTTCTTATCACACAATGTAGGATTTTTGTCATAATATCTGTATTTGTACTATTACGACGCCACAGACTTTCAGCACACTACAAGCAAAAACTACTACTTTTGAGATGCACTGATTTACTTCTACAGACAGTAGTAACCAGTGATTTATGTATATTAGACACACTTATAAGGAAGCCACAACCTCCAGCCATTAAGTTCTAAAAAGAAACTGAAAGTGTGTGGCCTTGAATAAAGACCTTGGACTTACAATACAATACAATACATACAATGCCACTGCATTGTCATTGTATGGAGAGTTTTATCACCTTCCAGCAGCTGTTCTGATTTGAAAGGTGTGTCTGTGGGGCTCAGGCTGCTGGTGGAGTTCCCCAGGAGGTCAGGAAGGGAGGAGGACACAGACACAACGGAGGGTTTCCTTCTCCACTTTAACACTGATGGGAATTCGTCAACCACTGGGAACTCGTCTGGAGCCGGGAACTCGTCCTGCAACACAGAGGTAAGAGGAGAATGTATTTAAAAGACGGTGGTCCAACTGCAACTAAAGGAGTCTTTTTTATATATATCTTGATTTTGATTGATTGGCCATATAACCCAGATAAAACCAGTGATTATAAACCTTTAGCTATATCAGTGGCTCCCAAACTTTTCTGCTTGTGACCCCTGAAAATAACGTGATGTCTAAATGTAACCTAACACTACACACATTGCAAGCAGGTCAACCAAAAAGTGATATCCCCTTAATTTAGAGGCTGGGAAATGTAAAAATTATTTATGTCGTGAGAGGAAAAAAGCAAGAATTTGAAAAAGTCAGAAATAAATAAGACTTTCTCATCACTTTAATCATCTTGTGACCCCACCCTGACACTGGGAACCATTGACCTATATCAACACAACCACATGATCAGTGGTCATTCATATAGTGTTGGCCTTGATGGTCCACAGAAGTGAGGCACATTGATTAACTTTGGTGATAAATCAGCCATTCATCTATTATCCCATTCTAATACAGTAAGTCAGCCTCTATGAAAGGGTTTGAAGTAGAATGCTCCAGAAATGATTAATTCCTAGATAATTATTGATCTAGGAAGGCTTTATGGATCAGTTATGAACATTCGCGTGAAGAACTTTTGAGCTTGTTTATACTTACTATTTATAAATGTTGTTAATCCACGAATAAATTCAATTATAAAGGTTCATAAATTGTAAATAATTTAATTTTGGGCTAATAACTGGTCAAACAATTAAAAAAAAACCTGGCAGCCCAAAAGTTGCTCTTGTTAATGGCCTATAAATCATAAATCATTTATTATCTTAAATTATTTAATAACCATTAATAAAGCCATTAGTTATGACTTAGAAACTATTTGTAAAGGGAGACTTATTAGTTAATGGTACCCATATATTCATTAATCTGCTAAGCCCTATCTAAGCTACAAAGTGAGATGTTCAGAAAGGTACACAAATATTTTAGATCGGTGGAATATTGATGTATCTATGTCTCAATATGATAACAAACTGTAAATATGAATCAGGCATCTTAACATTTTGTGTGTTTGAGATGAGCACTATGAAACCCTCTATGGAATATGCTGGCAACATGAACAAACACCCTGTTCTCTGATGATCAAGGACATGCATGTTAATAGAATTTAATTATTCCTTAATATTAAAGCTGTACTGTCGCAGAGTGAGCTATAGCGCACACGCACAAGGTGACTTCACAGAGCTCTTTGATAGCATCTTGCAGACTCTGGGATAATTCACTGCAAGGCTGCAGCTGCAACAGAATGATCTATTGATCCTGTCTGTGTAAGAAGGTAAGTCAGCCTTCAGGTCAGGGGTAGTTGTCAGCGAGAATTGTCAGTTGCCTTTAGGCCGACATGAAACACGACCAGGAAACATTAAAGTCATTTTAATGCCTGTGAATTACCAGATACTGAAGTTCCACCCACTTTGATCTTTACAGTTTGTATGATTTCATGATGGTTTATTCTGTGAAAGACAAGCTGTCACTGACCAGCGATAAGGTCGGCTCCTCCATGAACTGCTTCAAGCTCAGACTCTTCCCATTGACCTGGAGAGGGAAAGAAAATCACCTCGTTAACTGACATTCAGACCACACAGAAAATAAACTGAGTGAATAGTATGTGTGAATCCTCTGACCTGTAGGTGTGTGCAGATCCTGCGGAGGACGTCATATACACTGTCTCTTGATAGCAGAGATACAAATACATACTGAGGAAATAAAAAGAGAAAAAAGTGATTTAAAAAAGAATCATTGTGTCTGGATCTATTCTGAATTTACCCACACACATAAAATGTTTATAACATATAATCTGAGACCATTTAGTGATTCTCTTTAATGCATATACAGATATTAAAGAAGCTTCTATTGCACATGGATAAGCTATATACTTTTCATTCATCACTAAAATTAGGTTAGATGTGAGACGATATTAAATTTTGACGAGCCCTGTGGGGGAAACTGCATAAAGAAGTAGACCAAGAAGATTTTCTATTTTGCATCTCAACTTGCCTTTGCAAATATCATAGACACATAACCGGACCTTGGTCACTTTATCTGAAATATCAGCACTTGAGATCATCAGTGCCCTACTTGCATTATTATAACTCTCTGCTCGTGATGTTAATATACAGTTGTGTTTGCAGCCATACAAAGGATATAATAATACATTAACATTACTGCGGAAGAGTACAAATGGAGCGAACAGCACTTCAGGGATTCAAAAGCTTTAATCTGCGGCACAAAGAGGATATTTTTCTAATCACATTTTGTTCTAGTTTATTCTTTTATGAAAAACTATAAATGACAGCTTACTCAAATATCCCTCTGACCTGGATAAATATCTCCGATTTCAACTTTTGAATTTATTTATGAGCATTTGAAACACTGTATTATTGTGTGTCTACTTTTTGTCCATGTCAGTTCATAAACAGTCCTGTTCTATCTCTGTTGACAGTCTATTGGTGAATGAGAAGAAAAAGTATAAACAGAGCCTGAAATTGTCTACTGTTACGCACACAAGCTGTGAACTTCTTACCTCATAAAGAAAATGTTTAGCAGTATAGTTGTACTATATAGAGCCATTTGTCTGCGTAGGGTTATGTAATGCATATTACACAATCATGCAGAAAAGATATTGGCCCTAGTGCAGTGTGAGACCGATCCATATGTCTCACATGGTTCGACAGCGGTGGTAATACAGAAATATTCCAATTCTGACCAATTAATAATAGTGTTTTGCACAACTGGAATGTAAATAAATATTTACACTGCTGTACTGGGCTTTGACTAGCTGAGTTAACAGCTTTCTCAGTAAACAGAGAAAGAGAGGGGAAGCATGTGACCACTGAAAAGTGAAGACATATCTGGAAATCTAAGTGTAATCTCATGAACACCTAGCAGACCTCAGTGCTCACAGTGAACAGAAATTCCACTCTTCATTTCGCATTTTTTTGGTAATAAATAAGCCCAGTTTATTAATAATTAATGATGTGTTATAAATAAATGATGTCCGCTTGACATGGTCCGATAACATGTACTGTGGTGTATGTATTATGGTGGTGTATGAGATTTTAGTGGAGTATATGAATGTTTGAGGAGCAGTAAAACATGTGATATTTCTGAACCTTGTGACAACTGCCATAACTCTGAGTAGCCGGCTCCTCTGGGTGTGTGCTGTAGCAACAGTTGCATGAATATATAAATACATGTATACAGATACATGTAGAGACAGATTCCAGAATATTTATATAATGTTTATAGTGGTAGTATATGTGTTTTTCATTGTATTAAGCAAAAAGATGACATGACAACATTTCCTAAGACCAGAATAAAAATAAAGCCACTTCAAAACCTTTAAAACTAGTTAAAAAGTTTCATATAAACAGAAAACCAAACTAAATATGCCTGAAATGTTTGTCCTTTCATTAAGCTCAGTTTGGCAGCTGATTTGTTAAAACAGGGTTACACAGAAGGATTTCAATTCCTCTGCTTCTTTACACCAGTAGTTTTAATATTTCAATGTGCCACGTTAAATATTTTCTTGTTAGTGTTTGACCAACTAAGAAGACACTATGGGTTTGAGCTAAAATGCTACCATGCTACATAAGATAAATGAAAACCAGTCTTATGTTTGAATAACTTAAAAAGCTTCAACAAAGCTCGGAAGTTGTCGGACACAGTAGGTCAACCATGCTAACTCCTTAGCTGTATGGATGGTAATGTTGGTCTGTTGGTCTGTTGGTCCAGACTGAATCATCTGTCTATCAACAACTACTGGACAGATTGTCATGAGATGTCTTGGCCCCCATAGGATGAATCCTACTGACTTTGGTGATCCCCTGATTTTAGCTCTACTGCCACTATCAGGTTGACATTTTTAGTTTTAAGCGAGATTATCTTTAAAATGACTGAATGTAATAACTTTGGTGATACTGTGACTATTCATCCTGATAAATGTTAGGTACAGTGTCACAGAGACACTAACATGGCTGCAAACTCTGGCTTCAATTACAAATTTGTGCACTCAATATATACATTTAATTCCCTTAGATTAGTCATTAGTGCCCTCAAATGA